GGATGGCGAGGTCTAATTTGAGTCCGCCGTGGGTACCCACTGTGCTGGGCCCCCCAGCAGCCTCGAAAGTGGCGACAGTTTCACAGATCGCAGCCCCCCAGGGATGGCGAGGTCTAATTTGAGTCCGCGGTGAGTACCCACTGTGCTGGGCCCCCCAGCAGGCCTCGAAAGTGGCGACAGTTTCACAGATCGCAGCCCCCCAGGGATGGCGAGGTCTATTTGAGTCCGCGGTGGGTACCCACTGTGCTGGGCCCCCCAGCAGGCCTCGAAAGTGGCGACAGTTTCACAGATCGCAGCCCCCCAGGGATGGCGAGGTCTAATTTGAGTCTGCGGTGGGTACCCACTGTGCTGGGCCCCCCAGCAGCCCTCGAAAGTGGCGACAGTTTCACAGATCGCAGCCCCCCAGGGATGGCGAGGTCCCATTTGAGTCTGCGGTGAGTACCCACTGTGCTGGGCCCCCCAGCAGGCCTCGAAAGTGGCGACAGTTTCACAGATCGCAGCCCCCCAGGGATGGCGAGGTCCCATTTGAGTCTGCGGTGAGTAATCACTGTGCTGGGCCCCCCCTCCAGCAGGCCTTGAAAGTGGCGACAGTTTCACAGATCGCAGACCCCAGCTGGCACGCAGCGACGAGCGAGGCAAAAGGCAAGGGGGAAGAGAGGGGCGGGAAGGAAGAAAGGAGACGCGCGAGCAGTGCTCTATTCAAAACGAGAACCCAACGCAGGAGGTTTGGGAAAAACAACAGAGAGAAATAGCAACACCAAGAAACACGAGAGAGAGAGAGAGAAACAGAGAGAGAGAGAGAGAGAAACAAAAAAAGGACGTGGCCGAAGCAGAGGGGAGGTGGACGGAGGAAGGGAGAGCAGTGGAGGGGGAGTGGAAAGAGACAGGGTGGGAGAGGACGGCCAGGAGGGGACGGGCCTGCACAACCTCGTCGCCGGTGTCGACCGCGCTGGTGAGTGCCACTGGATCGGCGTCCATGCTGGGGTCGCCTGCGGTACTCTCTGAGCTGCTTGCACCTCCTCACGCAGCTGGTTCCTATGCTCCCCCTCCGTCCTACCCCTGCTGCTCCCACCTCCTGCTCCTCCTGCTCCTCCTCTCCCCCCACCCCCTTGTCTCTCTCCTGCTCGGCTCCTCTTCCTCCTCCTCTCCTCGTCCTTTCCCTTCCCTCAGGAGGCACAGTCATCCCTCGGGAAAACATTTATTTCTGGCATATTCGCCTTTTGTGTCGTAGCAGCGTCCAAAGCGGCCCAAGAAGCCTGCGAGATCGCCCCATGGCGGCCAAAGAGGCCCCCAAGAGGGTTTCAAGCCAGGCCAAGAGGACCCCAAGACAGACCCGAGACGGCCCCCAAAAGGCCCCCCAAAGGCCACCAAAAAGGCTTCCAACAAATCCCCAAAGAAACCCACGGGGGCCATGGGAGGTCCCCAAGAGGGCCTCAGTTTTCCAGGAGAGCCCCACGGCAGCGCAACTGAACCCCGGGATCTGGAGCAATGGGGCCCCCTGGACGCCAGTGGAAGAGGCCCCCCAGCCTCGCCGCGCCCCTCAGATCCCCTCAGGGCGCCTGGCCAGGCCTTGCCAGCAAGCTCAAAGCGATCAGAGAAGTGGTCGGGGAGGCGCAAGAGAACCCGACGGCAGCGCAAGACGGCCTCAAGACGGCCCAAGTGGCCCCCAAAACGACCCAAGAGGGAGCGTTGCTTCCCATTGCCTTGTATTGCCTGACCGGGCGGCTTGGGCCACGAGCGAGCCCGCGTGGTGGCCACACGAAGGGCCCCGAATGTCATGTTTTTTTGTTTTTGTTTTGCACGACCGTGCGTCTTCCAGAAGGCGCCTCCTATCACATTCACCAAATTTAAACGAATCCTGGGTTTGCGGCAAAAGTTCCCTTGAAATCTGCAGCGAACTCAGGGACTCCGTGGCGAACCAGGGTTTCGTCACGCGCCCGCCCCTGCCGCATCGCAAGCGCTCGTGGACCCGGCACCATATAGCTCACACCGGTCTCTTCCCCTCGCACGGTTTCCACATGGCCATTCCCAACCTATTGTTCATACCACCTGTCCTGCACCATATAACTTACATCAGGTAGATACCACCACATCGCCCGCGTTACGTAATTTACGCAACCGACGTAGTTTCCACCATAGGGTTTTCACAACAGACCTCACATCACAGAGGCTTTACCCGCAGATGTTCCACCGCCAGAATTCCACGGCTCACTGCTCGGGGTCTGCGATGGCTCACATGTTCGTTGGTTTGATGCCGTTGGGAGCCGCTGGGAGCCGCCAAACTTCAACAATCCTCGGAGATGTTGGTTCGACGTCGGCCTGCAAGATACGCTGCAAACCGGGGAGCGTCAAAAAACCGATCCCGGGGTAAAAAACGATCCTCCGGAAGCATCTGTTCCTCCACACCGGTCCGTTTGCGTTATGTCGACGCGGCAGCGACCCCGCGCGGGTGCTCGGAATGAACGCGGCCAGTGGTCAGGACTCGGCCGGCGTTGAACGGGAATGCGCGTTCTTTCACGGCTGAAAGTTCCAAGCGGTGTCAAAAATCGACGCGCAGGCCGTTGCATTACCAGCTGGCGCCGGATCGTGCGAAGAAGGCACGCGATTTTGGTTCGACGTTCTTTCGGGGCCTCCAAATGGCGTTCTCGCGCCACGTGACCGGGCCCGCCTCGAAATTCGAATCAAAACGCACCCCGTGAAAAGTTCGGGTGGTGCATGGATCTGTAAAGCGAGGGGAAGAGCAAATAGGAACGCGTGAGGCGACTGGACGGGACACGGCCAAAGTTCAAAGGCCAAAGAGGATGGCGCCAAGTGCCAACGGGTGCAAGGCTAGAGGGACCAAAGTCTATGGCGCGAAGTGTCAATGCAGCCATGTTTCTCTATACATATATATATATATATATATATATATATATATATATACTAGAACCACGCGCGCGCTTCGCGCGCGCTTAGGTTCTAGTTTGCTCCGAAAACGGTGTTCGCAAGCACGGGTCCGATTCCGTGGCGATTCCGGGGCCCTTTTGGAAGGCCTCTTGGAGCCTTCTTGGGGCGTCTTGACGGCCTCGTGGCCCTTCTGGAGGCCATGTTGGGCCGTATCGGAGCGCTCCGGGGGCCCTCTCGGGGCGACCGGGAAGTCTCTTGGGCCATCTTGGGCGGACTGGGAGGCCCGGGGGCCGCCCGAGGAGCGTCCCAGGAAGCCCTCCTAGGCCCTCTTAGCGCTGTCCTCAGGCGTCCTGGGGCGTCCTTGGGCGCCTCCTGGGGCTGTCTGACAACTCGGACAGCCAAGGGATGAGATATCCTAAAAATGTACGTTTTACGAAGGGAATGGGGCCATTTTGGTTTCCCGGGGCGCTCTTGGGGGGCCTCTTGGAGGCCTCTTGGGGCGGTTTGATGGCCTCTTGTCCCTTCTGGAAGCGATCTTTGGCGGTCTTGAAGCGATCCTGGGCTTCTCTCGGCGCTCTTGGAGCCTTCTTTGGCGGACTGGGAGGCCCGGGGGCCGCCCGAGGAGCGTCCCGGGAGGCCTTCCTGGGCTGTCTTCGGGCTATCCTAGGGCGCCTCGTGGGGCTTTCGGACCGCTCCGACAGCCAAGGGAGCTGATATCCTAAAAATGTACGTTTTACGAAGGGAATGGGGCCATTTTGGTCTCCCGGGGCGCTCTTGGGGGGCCTCTTGGAGGCCTCTTGGGGCGGTTTGATGGCCTCTTGGCCCTTCTGGAAGCGATCTTTGGCGGTCTTGAAGCGATCCTGGGCTTCTCTCGGCGCTCTTGGAGCCTTCTTGGGCGGACTGGGCAGCCCGGGGGCCGCCAGAGGAGCGTCCCGGGAGGGCCTCCTGGGCCGTCTTGGGGCTGTCCTCAGTCGTCCTGGAGCGTCCTTGGGCGCCTCGTGGGGCTTTCGGGCCGCTCCGACAGCTAAGGGAGCTGATATCGTAAAAATGTACGTTTTACGAAGGAAATGGGGCCATTTTGGTCTCCCGGGGCGCTCGTGGGGGGCCTCTTGAAGGCCTCTTGGGGCGGTTTGAGCGCGTCTTGACCCTTCTGGAAGCGATCTGTGGCGGTCTTGAAGCGATCCTGGGGTTCTCTCGGCGCTCCTGAAGCCCTCTTGGGCGGGCTGGAACGCGCGGGGGCCGCCGGAAGGGCGCCCCGGGAGAGGGCCGCACCCTATATACAAGGGAGGTTCCGGCCCGGGGCCCGGGGCCCGGGATCTCCCATATATGTATATACATGTATGTATATATATATATTATATATATATATATATATATTATATATATATATATATATATATATATGTATGTGTGTGTATATATATACATATGTGTATATACGTTCCACGCGCCGATTGCCATTGTATCATACGGGTTGTCTGCAAAAACAACTTCGCAATAGACTCGCACTGTTCGCGCTCCGGCTCAACGTCCTTGGCCTTTCGCTGTACCGCTATAGCAGGCACCCCCAGATGCCCCCAGAAGACGCCCAAGAAGCCTCCAGAAGGCCTTAAGACGACCTGCGAACTTCTGCAAGGCCCCCAGAGGCTCTCCAAGGAGGAGCCTCCGCAAAAGGAGCTGAGGAGGATGGGGGAGAATTCGCAGGGTAGGGCGATAAGGAAGAAAAACAAACATGGATGAAGGATAACGAATACCACTCTGATAGCGGCGATGCCAGAAAAGGCAACAAGGAATTATCGCTGAATTGTCTGTTTTGACCTTCCTGCCACTCCGCCTGCAAACCAATAACCAAGAACCAAGGTGCATGGCGCGAAGCGCCAATGCAGTCTTGCGTAGATGAATGCAAAAATCTTTATATCTTTTGAACCGCGATGGACTACAGACAACTCTGGATCACCTCTGGTCTCTCTCTCTCTCTCTCTGTCTCTCTCTCTCTCTCTCTCTCTCTCTCTCTCTCTCTCTCTCTCTCTCTCTCTCTCTTCTTAAACTCCACTTCTAGATCAAGCCCGAAAGTCGCATAAGTTCCAGGGAATATCCGAAACAGGGCGCTGGCCCTAGACATCCGAACACCTCTCCTCGGCCTTCGTCGCCGCGGCTGGGCGGGGGCGGAGGGCGAAAGCCCAAAACGAAACCGGCGCCTCGATCATTTTTCACGAGGCGCACGCCGGCACACAGCCGGCGTCAAACACCACAGCGCGCGGTGCCTCACGCCACCGTCGAACTTCATCGGGAAGCAGATCAGCTTCATCAACCGCTCCATCGTGTCATGGTCGAGGGCCTTCGTGAACAGGTCCGCCGGGTTCCAGTGCCCATCGACCGTCTTCAGCAACAGTCTTTTACTCTGAATACGTTCCTGCAGCCATAGAAATCGAACGTCCAAGTGTCGAACAGCTCCCAGTCCCTGTCGGCTTGCAATTCCTCTCGCGGCTGAGCTATCGCTGAAACTGTAAAGCTCCATCTCGTAGCCCACCTCGACTCCAAGGTCGGCCAAAGTGGCCTGTGCTCCAAAACCGTGGCAGGCTCCACGCAGTAGTGCATAGTACTCGGCCTCGCCGCTGCTCAAACTCACCGCGGATTGGACCGTGCTGCCATGTTTCAGCAGATGCGTTCCCCATAGAGTGGCCATTCCACTTCGGGAACGCCTCGTAATCGGATCACCCGCGTAGTCGCTGTCACAATAAACGAAGACCTTTCTAGGCAGCCTCTGAACGGGAAACGGCAACCTTCCAGCGGGGTACCTCTTCAAGTAGCGGCCACTGCGCTTCAAATCCTCCATGTGGGTCTCCTTCGGCTCCTTCATGCGTCGAGCCTGCATGCTCGCGCTGTAGCTGATGTCGGGCCGGTCCAGACCCAGGTGCATGATCCGCATGGTCACGCTGTGGTAGGTCTTCACCTTCTCGTCGTCCAGCTTCGGCGAGGTCTGGTTACTACTCGGGATCTCCGCGACAGACCTCTTAACAGCCGGGGTAGTCACCTCCTTCGCATTCTCCCAGCCCAGGTCCCTGCTCACCTTCTTCAAGTGCCGGGTGTCCGCTTCGAGGTGGGCCGAGCGCTCGAAGGGGTTCCAGATCAACACCCGGTTGAGATAGACCACGCTCTGTTCCTTCAAGGGGCCTGCTGCTCAGAATGCCCGTGATCTTAAAGTCGTAGCGCGAAAGCACGTCATCGAAACACGCCTCCTGGGACTTGCGCATACTCACACCGAAGTCGTCGGCGTGGACCTCCGCTTGTACATGGCGCTCGGCGCGGTACAGCAGCGCCGGGTTCGAGGCGCCCTTCTCGAAGCCGTGCGAGCTTGTCAGGCCGATGTAGTCGTCTTGCCACACATGACTTGCGTCCACTGTGCCATGCAGTCATGAGTAGCCTGCCCACCATGGGTTCCGGATCGTCGTAGGTCTCCTCCTCGGGTAACTCCACATACACCTCGCGATTCACCTCTCCACCGAAGTGCGCCCTCGAGATGTCGTACAACTTGTAAATGATATCCTCTGTATCGCCGTCGTGGTAGGCGTCGTTCACGCGGCCGACGAAGATGGTCACCATCGCCTTGAACGCTTCCAGCGGTGGCATGGCCGAGAATAGTTCAGCTTGATCTGGTCGATCTTCGGACCTCATAGCTTTCTTAATCCCTCTCGCGACCAGTATCGAACGATGCCGTGGTTGAGTTCGGTCGCCCTTGCCTTCTTGCCGTTCTCGAGCATCTCGCGCCCCTTCAAGGTCACTGCCTTCTTGCCGTTCTCGAGCATCTCGCGTCTGGGTACCTTCTTCCATACCTGCCTCCCGCGGCACCAATCCAGTTCTTCTTGCCTCGCGGCTCGCACGCCCTCGGAGTCCAAAATCTCGCCCGTGAGATCGTCGATGAAGTAGTCGCCCTGGTACTCAGCGAACACCTCAGTATCGTCTTCATGTGGGTGGGGTCCTCCACAAAGAGCTGCAAGTAGGTTGAGCCCTTCTCGTCGTCGAAGATCCTCTCGTAGGCCTTTGAGAATAGCTGCCACCAAGCTCGGACGGTCTCGCTGTGCATGTTTGGCGCGTCCGTCAACCAAATGAACATGGCAGGCGAGTTCTCCGTTCGGACCCCTGGGGCACCGGCAGTAGCCTTTGAGGATCTCGGCGAGCAGCTCGCTGTTAGTGAGCCACCCGGTCTCCTTCCGAACGAAGCCCAACTTTCCGTTGGAGTCGGTCGCCTGCATGTGCCAGCGGCACATAGGTCCATGGACTAAGAATACGCCTGCCGACAGCATGACCTCCTGAACGCTTGGGCGGTACCAGCAACTCGCTGACCAAAGTGCTTCGTGAGAAAATTGCTCCCCTGCCTTGTAGCGCTCCTTGCAGATTTCCATGCTGAAATTGAAGTGCGTCTCGCCTTCCAGGATCTCCGCCTCCGCGATCTTCGGGTTTCGCTTTGAGTCCGAGAGCGTCCGTGAGTTGCTGAATGGCATGCGCGGGGGGCTGGTGATCGTCAGCAGCGGGTCTTCGCCCTTCAGCTGCTTCTTGCACTCCTTTCGTTGCTCGGGCAATCGCAGATCCCAGCCAGTCTCGAGATCCACTGCCAGGCCGTGCGTGAGGCCTATCTGAACGTCATCTCTGCAAACCTTCTCGGCGAATAACCTCCGCAATGTCCACTGCGCACAGCTCGGTAAGAAGTGACGCGATCTCCTCCGCCTGCTCTGCGTCGTTCACGTTGGCGTTCGTCCGCATCTCGAACATCGCCAGCTCGTAGATCATGATAAACGTGCGGCCTTCGTCGTAGCCGTTGATCCGCTCCACGAGGTCGACGTCCATCGATCCATCTGGAGCCCGGCTCGGTCTCGATGCCGATGCCGATGTTGAACTTGATGACGCTGCCTGGGACATCGCTGTGTCGACCAGGTCCCCCACGTTCATCTGCGCCTCCTCCTGGGGCGCCGCTCGCTTGAGCGCGAGCCGAGCTTCCGCAGTTGCAGGTGCTGAGCTTCCTATCGCATCGCCTCGTGCCCAGGTAGCTCGTCCAGGGTCGGGTGCGTCTCCGCGGCGCTTCCTGGCAGCGCTCGGTTCACTTCCACTGCCTCCGGCCGGCACCACCGCCATCTCAATGTCCCTCGGCTCTGGGGCAGGAGCTCGATCGCCGTCTCCAGCGGGCGGCGGTAGGGCAGCTTGGTCTCATCCAGCTGCTTCTCGACCTCGAACACCTCGACCGCGTGCTGCTTGGCTTCTGGCTCGAAAGGGGTGTTCGATAACTCGTACTCGATCTTCATCGTTACCCATCATCAGCTCTGCGACCCTGTCGCGGCACTCGTCGCCGTGGGATTTCGTGATCTTGCCCTTCTGCGTCAGCTCCAGACATCCGTCACAGGCCTGCTCCTTCGGCAGTTTCTTGAAACCTTGGGCCCTCTCTACACCGTCAACCGTCATGACGAGCAGGGCCCCCGTCCGCATGTGGTAGCCCAGGAAGTTCCCGGACTTCATGCGCTCCTCCATGGTACTCCTGCGACCTCCTGGCGCGAGCGGCCTGTACATCGCCCGCTCGCCGAACTCTGCTTCCAGCTTCTTCCAGTCGCGGCCTGAGCGCCGCGGTTCTCCAGTGAGGCCGTCGGTTCCGCGTCGGTACCGGCCAATGCAGGCCGCGGCGTACTGGGGCAGCCACTTCAAGATCGGGTGGTGATCATCCACCTTCCTGCCGAGCTTGGCCTCCAGCGCGTGCCTGTTCGCCCTGACCTGTCTCTTGACCTCTCGCGCGGTAACCTCGATGCCTCCGTTGCTCTGGCGCTCTCCTGCTGGCGATTCTCGAGGCAGGAACTCCACCGTCGGCGTCGCCACCGCGACCGCCGTCTTGAGCGCCACGATCGCGGGCCCCCCCTCGCTCTGGAAGACCTTGGCGGCGGTGGCCGAGGCGGACAGGAGCGGCTTGCCGATGTTTGCGCGCCTGCCCTTCAGGAACATACTCTTGCCGTACTCCGACACTCCTTTGATGCCGACGCCGCCCTCGTCCTCTACGATCTCGCCGGCTGTGCGGCATGAGCTGCCGTCGGCCTCGGTGCACTCGCCCTCCTGCTCGAGCGGGGAGGCCGTGGCAGCGTCGCGGGTGTCGGACGTCATCGCGATGCGCTCCCTGCGCTGCTTCTCACCCTTCGCCTCCACGCTGTTCAGCTCCAGCGCGCGCTCGAAGGCGTCGAAGCTGAGCGCGGCGGGTGACTGGTTGCATATGCCGGCCTGTGAGGCCGATGCCGGTAGCTGCGTGCTGATCGTGCTCTGCGCGTCGCCCTCGCAGTTGTTGAAGTAGCCTCGGCGAACGCCTTGCTGTTGGAAATGCTGGCCCTTCGGGTCCTTGCCGTATACTTTGCTTTTGCCTTTGTCATCCTTGCCTCCTCTCTCGGTGGGCCTCCAGCAGTCTTGTGCCCGATGGCCCTTCTTTCGGCAGTTCCAGCAGGTCACGTTCGCGTTGGCCGTCATCCCTTTTCCGTTGCCGGTCTTGCCCTTGTCATCTTCGCCCTTGCCCTTGCCGCGCTTGCCCTTGCCGTCGCCTCTCCTGACGAACGCGTCTACCTCCGTCGGATCGCCTCTCGACCGGCCAAGGGCTCCTTGAGCTTGTCTGGTCTCCAGGAAGCTCCTGACCCCCTCGCGCATCGCAGTGAAGTCCTGGAGCCTGGTGCGGTTGAGGGCGAGGTGCATCTCGACGTCCTGCGGCGCGAGGCTCTCGAGCGCACTCATCTTGATCTCGTCGTCTAGGTGTGCGTCTCGACCGTCGGCTCTGCGCCTCTCGTAGCGCCTGACCAACTCTTCCCATTTCACAACCTCTGCGGCCAAGTTCTCGAGCTTTGCGACCCTGGTCGGCGCCGCGATCTTCTTGAGTAGCACGCGGCGGCGACCGCCGCTGGTAGGGTCCCAGCGCCGCGCCAGCAGTCGTAGGGCTTCAGCCCCATTGCCTTGGCCTGCGCTGACCACCAGGTCGAAGGGCTCGCCCTCCGTGAGCGAGACGAACACCGCGTAGAGCTGCGAGAGCTTCTCGTCCACATTGTCGACTGCCTCGCCGTCCTCGGCCTCATTCACAAACTGTTCCATCGCAGCGGCCGTGGTGAGCGTGACCGTGTCGTTCGTCTGGTCGACCGCCCACTCGATCACCGGCCGGAAGTTCACGCCGAACACGCTGAGCACGTAGCTGTTAAGCTTCTGGAGCCACTCGCTGAATTTCGACTCTTCGTTCTTGAAGTCCTGTGGCTTTCCGATGTCTTTCGCTTGAATCAGTTGGGCCGCCAGCGGCGCTGCCGATCTGCGACTCGCTCAAGCACCTCGCCGAGCCGCCTGATGATCTCAGGCTCTCCGGCCTGGTCTGCTTGTCGCTGGAGCGCGGCGTTCTGTTGCCGTAGATCGTGAATGTCCTGTCGAGCTTGTTGCACTGCGTCGCGCATCTCGTTGAACGTCTCTTGGCTGAGCGCCATCTCGAAGACCGAAACGCTCTGCTCTCCTGTATTCTTCACTTAGTTCAAGTACTGACCGAACTCGTGCCAATAACCCTTCAAGCGGCTGAACCGAATCAACTTCAGTACAGTTCGCTGCCAGTCGCCCTCGACGCCCACCTGAGTCCAATGCTCGTGGGTCTCGGTCGCGGAGCTCACCGTCTCCGCCGTCTCGTTCTGCTGGGCCGCCAGTAGCGGATCTCGCGCGCGCTGGCGCGCGGGTGTGAAGAGTGGCGGGGCTGGGAGCTGGAGCTAGTCCAGCTCCGCTAACATCTTTCTATCTTTTGAACCACGATGGACTACAAACAGAGTTCTGGATCACCTCTGGTCTTTCTCTCTTCTTAAACTCCACTTCTAGATCAAACCCGAAACTCACTTAAGTTCCACGGAGTATCCGAAACAGGGCGCTGGCCCTAAACATCCGAACAACATATGTATGTATGTAAACATGTATGTATGTATGTATGTATGAATGTATGTATGTATGTTTGTATGTATGTATGTGTGTATATATATATGTGTGTATGTGTTTGTTTGTATATGTATAAGTAAATATAATTTATATATGTATATATATATATGTATATGTATGTGTATATCTGCGCACACACACATCTTCCAATACATGTTTTTTGTCTACTCGGGTTTCGGCCTCGGGGGGCCCTCGCCAGGCCTCGGGACCGTCAAAAAACAGCCTGGGATAAAAAACTGGTCCCGAGGAAAGGGTCCAGACCTCTGGGGGTCGACGCTGTGACAGAATCACGACGTCGGAGTTCTTGGTCGCCCGCCCAAGCCAGAACCTGTGCGTGCAGATCCTTCGGGCCGTCAGCACCCTTCTTCTTCCCCCCCACCGCCAGGCGCTTGACCCATACCCTTCCCCACTTGCACGGCCTTGACCCCACTGGCCGACTTACTCACTCGGGTGGGGATCTGTGCTGTTCCCTGCGGAACTCGCGGGACCTATCCCCACCGGGGGGATGGACAGCTGTCGCTCAATGGGGTCCGCAATGGGGACCCATAAGATGATACTGGCCCACCTCCACGGTCCACTTGCCTGATTAGACTGGCCCCTTTTTGGCAGGCCTGGTCGGACTCAAACGAAAAACACCTCCGACGAGAAGGCGGAGATCGAGACCCAGGGAAGGGCCAAGCACGCCCACAAACGGACGGGAGGAGGAGGAGAACGCACAAGGAATACCATCCCTCCTCTCGTCGTCCTCGTCCTCGTCCTCGTCGTCCTCGTCGTCCTCGTCGTCGTCTTCTCCCCCTCTTCACCCGGTCTCCTCCGACGCCGCATTTTTTTCGCGACGCGGGCTCCACGATCTCGACCCCTTCTGGGGGACCGGCTTCTTGCAATCCCGGGGTCTGGGAAACAGCCACCGGGGTCCAAAAACTACGAACAACCGGGCGCCCCGGATCTGCGGCCCCGAGCCCTCGCCCCCCTGCTCCTGACTGGCCCACGAGCGCCTCCAGACTTCGTGCCCACTCGGCGCGCGCGCGAAAGGCGTACCTTCGGGTACGCCTCGCAACGCGCAGTTCCCCCCTCGCACTGCACAGCGCAGGTAGGCAACCCGACGGGAGCGGGCGCAGGGAAGGGAAGGGGAAGCAGACAACATCCCCGATCCACACCTGCGGGCTCCCGGAGGTGGGGTGCAGTCGGCACTGGGACAGAGAAACGCACTGCAAGAGCAGGAGCCACTCCGCCGGCAAACAGATCCCCAAGCCTTGCACATCTCGGCGAAGGACACGGCCAGGTGCAGTTTTGCGTACCGCGCTTGTGGACATCACCTTCAGTGGAGCTGCTTCGGGGCCGCGCAACGTGCGAGAGGTGTGCCGAACTGGGCCTGGGGGCGCATGCGGGCCCTGCCACCGGGGCCTTCGGAGGAGTCCCTATGGGGCCACGAAGCGTGTAAGGGGTGTGCCGAAATCGGCCTCACTGGGACCGTAGGGTAGACTTGGAGGTGGCTGCGGGGTCTGAACTGAATCGGCGCTGGGAAAATCGATTAAGAAGGAAAAATGGAGGCACATCCGTTCGAAATCGGTCCCCGGACCCCTCCCGGGGACTGGTATAGTTCTTCAGCCCGCATCCATCTTTGACGGTCCCAGGGCCCGAAAACGGCCACTGGAGACCGAAAATAGCAAAACCCGTGTCCAACCCGGCACCTCGAACCTCGCCCCCCTTTCCTGATCACCAATTAGGAAGGCACCAACTATACACCAACACCGATCCTGGCCAGGATCACCCTGGGCCCAGGATCGGTGTATACCCCCTCCTGCCTTGCGCAAGAAGGCATATACACCGATCCTGGGCCCAGGGCGATCCTGGGCCAGGATCGGTGTTGGTGTATAGTCGGTGCCCTCCGATGCTGGGCTACCTCGGACCCCCAGCCGACTCCAACCGTAGACGCCCTTCTCCTCCCCCCCCTGGTCGCGCCTCTCGCCATCGCTCGGGCCTCCCATCCCCGTGCACTCTTCGGCTCGGCGCGTGCCTTTTTGGGCTCGACGGTCAAGGAGGGTCCTCGATGGCCCTCGCCGAGAGAAAGTGCCCACGCTCGAGCGACGCCAAGACCTCGCCCCCTGGGCCCGATGGTCCAAGAGGCTCCTCGAGGGCCCCCGCCGAGAGAAAAAGTGCCCACGCCCGAGCGGCGCCAAGACCTCGCGCCCCGGGCCCGATGGTCCAGGGGGCTCCTCGAGGGCCCCCGCCGAGAGAAAAAGTGCCCACGCCCGAGCGGCGCCGAGACCTCGCCCCCCTGGGCCCCCGTCGCCTCCGGCGGCGCCCCCGCCGCCCGCCGCGGCGCGCGGCGCCGCGCGGGCGCTCGGCTCCGGCGGGGGCTGCGGCGGGCCAGGCGCGGAGGGGTCCTGCATGCCCACCTGGGGAGAGCGGGGCGGTGAGGGCCCCGGGCAACCCAGGGGAGGCCAAGCTCACGGGTGAAGTAATGGCAGTGGGAGGGGGAGGAGGAGCAGGAGGAGGGAGGAGGAGGAGGAGGAGGAGGGAGGAGGGAGGAGGAGGAGGAGGAGGAGGAGGAGGAGGAGGAGGAGGAGGAGGAGGAGGAGGAGGAGGAGGAGTTGTTGGAGCCACTTGTGCGACAGGACATGTCCACCTGAGGAGAGCGGGGCGGGAGGGTCCCGGGCAACCCAGGGGAGGCCAAGCTCCCTGGTGAAGTCGGAAGAAGTAGGTAAAAACAGAAAGTAGGAAGGCGGGCAAAGTGGATTGGGTCCAGGCCCTCCCAGAGAACAACAAAACAAATAAAAAACCATGCCGATTCTTGAAGTAGGAAGGCGCTTGAAATAGATTGGGATCTCGGGATCCAAAAATACCTACTTTCAACGACCGGCGTGTAATGGCAGTGGTTCTGGCAAACGGTGACCGAACAGAAGCGGTCCTGGTCAATGGTGAGGTCATGGCAGCGTTCCTGGCCAATGGTGAAGTGCTGACTGTGGTCCGAGTCAACGGTGACGCAACGACAGCGTCAGAAATCCTGGGCCATGGCCACAGTGGTCAATGGTGTTGTGATAGCAACCTGAAGGGGAGGGAGAAACCCACCTCGCCTCGCCTCCTTCGTTCTCCTCCCTCGTGCCTCCCCTCCCCTCCTCTCCTCTGGTCCCCTCTCTCGTTCCTCCCCCCCTTCCTCCTCCGCCGCGCTCAGCCCTGGAGTGGTTTGGCTGCTCGCCCCGCAGGCCGAAGAGCCGCGGGACTCAAGGCAGGCAAGTGGGCGAGGGGTACCCTGACCCCAGATCCAGCGTATTAGGTGGATCTTTCGACCCAAATAGAATCGGGAACGCGCCCCGAACGGTGCGAAAAGCTACTTCAAATCTCACAATGGCGGGGGGGGGGGGTCAAACAGGTGTTTGACAGCGCGTTTGGGACCCCCTCGAGAGCGGTGCAACAACGGGACCAGCATCGAGACCCCCCCACAATCTTGTTTGACGAGGTCCGTTAGATCGCCCAAAGAAAATACCCCCCATGATCATGAGATCCGGAAAAGGATGGAAAACGTCCGCCTCAGAAAACTAGGGCAGATGTTTCCGCAAAGGTATGGTGGAAGCAGCAATGGCAAAAAAGGCTGGATGTTGACATTTCCGCGGACATTACGGCGGACATTTCCGCCCTATTTGCGACATCGGCCAAAATACGGCGGATCCGGAGTCAGGGTGGGAGGACGAAAGAGAGACCCAGACCTCCGACATCTTGAACAGAAAACCAGGCGGAGGGTTTTCGTCAATTTCTCAGGACTGTCAACACAAGATTCGGAATGAAATATCCGTCCCTGGGAGTGGTCCAGGGGCCCAGGAGCCCAGTGGTCCAGGGGCCCCGCAAGACAGCGGATTTCTGGGGACACGAAGGGAGGGAGGGAGGGAGGGAGGGAGGTGGCGGAGACAGCATAAGATCAGGATCAAGAGGGGGATGAAGGCGGGGACGACGAGGATCAGGACGACGAGGATGATGTGGAGGATGACGGCATGCGGAGGAATATCCAATACTATGATATAGTATCACGTATGATCGCAATGGAGCTCCAGTTAAAGGAAGCATGATATAGCAACAACGGTGAGCCCCGCGCGCTGCTTATGCAGCTTGGCCGCGCTCGCAACACGCGTGGCCTGTCGGGCGCCACCCGCGCTGCCCCGTGCCAGGCGCCCCCCCCCCGAGTCGGTGCGCAGCCAGGGGGGGCGCCCATCCTCGGGAACAGGAAAGCAACTCTCCGCCGCGCTTTCTCGAACAGACCTGACGGACCGAGCCGCAGCCCTCTCAGCCGATGGCCTCAATGGGGGCAGGAGAAGGAGGAGGAGGAGGAGGAGGAGGAGGAGGAGG